AAGAAACTAATATAATAAATCAAATTAATTATTTATAAATAATATAATTTCTCTTTTAGTAAATAAATATATTTGACAATAAGAATAAGAAACTAATATAATAATCAATAATTAATTATTATAAAATAATAATTATTTTTATTTTTATTTTTTAATCCAATCCAAATCATGAAATCAATTTTAAAATTTATTAATAAAATTATATCCTCATATAGAAAGAAATAGGATTTTAATTAAAAATAATATATCATATATTAATCAATTTAGATGTTTAAAAAATAATAATTTTTTAATCTTATTTTTTGGCCACCAAATTAAGAGTGGCAATTTGTAATTAAAGAAATTTTTAACACATACCTTTGTTTAAATTATAAATCTTAATTACCTATTTTAAAATAAATTTGAAAAAATAAAAAATTTTCAAAATGCCCATCATATTTACACATAAATTTCATTTAAAAATAAATATATTTGAGATGTTAACAATAATAGTAAATAAAAATAATAAATAATATATAATAATAAATTATTAAATTAATTAAAATTATTATTAATAGTTTAATTATAATATAATGAAAATAAAAACATAGTTAGACATATAAGATTAAAATAGTAAATTTAAAATTTATTAATAATATAATGAAATAAAACATAGTTAGACATAATAAGATAATAATAGTAAAATTTTAAATTTTCAAATGCTTAATTATCTATATGTATTTATCTATTAAAAAGTTTTAAAAAATCCAATCAAATTATTGAAATATTATATATATTTTTATGTCAAATTTTTTTAATTGGAACTAAAGTTATTTTAGCGTATCTTAAATTTTACAAAAACAATATAGAAAATCTCATTATTCCCTCTAATTTCCAGTTTATATAGTATACATATAGATAGATAGAAAGTATAGATAGATGATACTATTTTATCCTTTATTTAATGAAAAAACAAATTTTAAACAAAAGAACTAAATAGTTTAATGGAAATAAACCTTAAGAATGACTATCATGCTTTTGCTAAACAATAAGAATGTAATAATAATTTCGATAACAGACCATTAACCATTGAAATTATATTTCTTAATTAAACAAATTTCATTTTGACAAAAACCTAAAAGTTTTTTGAAGTGTTAATTTTAGGTGTTTGGACATATGGTAGATAACTATGTCCAAGTTAGCAAATATGTGATAAATGTATTATAAACAACGTATGAATATATATACCAACAAGTATTGAGATGAGTGGTTTGATACTCTTTTCTCTTAAGATCGAGAGTTCGATTGTTATGATTGAAATTGAGGATGAAAGTGAGATGAATATTTTAGAGTATTTGTCCACTTCGATCCATTTAACAAAAGTATAAGTAGTTATAGATGGATTTGCAAAATGTATGAGTAATGAAATTACTATCTGTAATTGATATGAGTATTAGTATAGGTGTCTAGTTACCTGCGACCTATTACCCGCTATATTAGACGAATAGGTACCGTGAATACCCTATTCATTTATTAGTAAAAATGTATTTAAATATATTTGGATTGAGCAAATATCTTACCTGTTTAAGGAATACTTTAAATGGGTTTTGGATGGATACGTTTAGTAAAATTTTAAACGAATTAAGATATAAATACTTAAACAGATATTTAAACATATTTGAGATGGATACAAATAGTAAAATAGCTCAAAATTTCCGGGTCCCCTTACTTTCATCTAAATAAATACTCGGTAACAGCATTTTACCGCTTCACAAGTCAATACATACACAAAGAGGATTTACCTAACCGAGTGGACTGAAGGTACCCGTAGTTAATAACATACACACATGAAATTACACAAAATAGTCCAAGAGAGTGCCATCCATTTGTAAAATATTCATCAAATAAGTGGTGGCCCCATTGCTCATAGCATAAATTGATATTATAAGATGAAGATTCATGTGCATCACACCTGGCTGATAAAATAGCACGCGGAAATGGTGGCGAAGGATCATACACAGTATATTATTTTCGATGGCTTTCCCTTTCCCGTTATGGATCTGAGTGGTATTGTTGTCAATAAGGTTCTTCTAATCAAAATTGTGAAATTACGTCATTTTTGTCTTTTTATGTTTCAATTAATTTTAATTCGCTGGATTAATTTGTATTATTTTATTTGTTCTATTATTTTCTATTTTTCGATAACGATTAATAAAAAAAAAATTCAAATTCGCTTAGATTTTATACTCATAAAACTTTGATTCGATTCACTATAAAAATTTCAATTAAACAATTCAATTTGATTCCATAACAAGGGTTTGTATATACACAAGTATTAATAATATATAGATAATTAATTTTTTTATTAAAAATTTAATTAATGTATTGGAATATAATGAAAGGAATAAATAAATAATTTATTTAAAAAATATATATATATAAAAAGAGCTGTCAAGCTCAAGAGTCTAAGAGTCAAGACCACCTTGTTTGAAGCCTGTACATTTTGACCCTCTATTATTAATTTATTTAATTTAATATTTAATCTGATGTGTGGCGTCTAATACATCTAATTTATTGCTTATGTGACTTTACGGTCCACGATGGAGTGCTTCAATATTTTAATATTTTATTAGATAACTTATAACTAAAGCAAAATATGTATTAGCTGTTGCACTAAAAAATATAGGTTGCACCATTTTCACAAATCCATTACTTAAATTTGAAGCCCTGATATCTAAAAAATTTTTGAGTTTAAAAAAAATATATTCAAGTTAGGTATGTGCAGTAAATTTAGATGTGGGTTACTCTCTTATATTGTAATTTTCTCTAAAAATCTCGCAGTATTTTCAACTTTGATCCATTGAATATTTTAATTTATAAAACTGAATTTATTAAATAGTTTAATTGATTTATTGAAAACTTCAACTTGCAAAATTAAATCAATTAAATATTTATTAGATAATTCAAAATATGAAAATTATTATTCCAAAAATTGTATCAACCACGTATTAAATCAATATCTTGTGTATAAACGTCAAAAATCTTAAAAATTATTATTTTTAGTTTCAGAATGTATAGAATTATTATAAAAAATGAAGTACAATGTCTTACAAGGTCGATTTTAAGATTTAAGGCGACATAAAATTTTTTATTAAAATTTAGAGATTAAATTATTACTTGGCACTTATATAACTCGTAGTGTTATTCCAAATAATAGATGAAAAAAATATTTTATTTTTTATTTTTTATACCGTAATTTTATATATTAATAACTTAATTAATACTACGAATGTTCTCTTATCCAAATGGCTAAGAGTGATAATAACCCACCTTCATATAATTTAATTTGTAACTTTGCATTTGTGTTGAGTTTGCAAGTCTACTTAATTGATATGCATAATCATTTTGATAAAATAATACATGTTTAATAATAAATATTTATTACACACTAAAGTATAGTTTAGTGATAAGTACATTACGATCTGACAATAGATCTAAGTTTGAATTCATTTACCTAATATTCAATAAATAAATATTTATTAATAAAAAAGTTGAATCTCATATGATTATTTTTTCAAAAGAGAGTATTGAAGTTTTGCCCAAATTTGGTAAATAACTTCCTTTATTGTCAAATATGATTCATACCCGCCATTCCAATGCGAAAGTCAAATTGTCAAAAATCATGAAATCACAAATATCTTCCATTCCATCTATGACTTACATAATTTATGCCTCACTTTCCTTCTTTTTCTTTTTTACCTTAAAAAATATCATCCAGCTTATACTTTTGTTAAATGTAACAAATGGCATCAAATCAAAGAAATACAAATACAAACTCTAAAGTACTCTTAATTTAAAAATACTATTTATTTTGTTATTAGAGTTTGATTATTGAAACCTAAGGGATACCTTTAATTTTAATTAGAGGTCTCGAGTTCAAAGCATGAGTATACAATCTCTTAAAACGCTTGAAAATTATCGTTATACCCTGAGTCCGCTAGAGTTTTGATTATTGAAATCAAATTATCAAAAGATTTTTTTTTAATATGAATATCTTAATCTAACATAAATGATATGTTTTTAATTAAATTAAATGTAATAATTATAGGATTTATTAATTATAAAGTTATAAAAATAATATTTTGAGCATTAGATTTATTATTAATATGTTTCTTTTTATATTAACAAGATAGTATCCAGAGTCTATTAGGCTCTGACCTACTAACTATTTAAGGGATAAAGGTTCCAATTGATATTTATTTCATTGTTAAAGATGAATTCTCAACCTCAATTAAGGAACAGTATTAAATTACTCATTTGGACATCCTTTGATAATAAACTTAATTATTATTTAAATATATTTACATTTTGAATAAATGTAATTTTAAATGTAATGGCTAGTAGCGGGTCAGCTCAAATAATTAGGGGACCAAAAAATAATTTTATTTAATTATTGGTGATAAAATTGAAATATATTTTTTTAAAAAAATTTTTTACATTAAAAATTCATTTTTTTTTTAATTTTGGGGGGCCACGCTCCCTTGGCCCTGGCATGTGTCCGACCCTTTTAATGGCTAATAAAATCGTTTTGATAAGATGGTTCTTACAGTCGACAAATCCACAATTATAAATAAAAATTACGTGTTAAAAAGCTTATGCAAAAAATTTTAGATCAAGCTGAGTTTTTGGTAGAGAATATTTTTAAAAAAATTTTTTACATTAAAAATTCATTTTTTTTTTAATTTTGGGGGGCCACGCTCCCTTGGCCCTGGCATGTGTCCGACCCTTTTAATGGCTAATAAAATCGTTTTGATAAGATGGTTCTTACAGTCGACAAATCCACAATTATAAATAAAAATTACGTGTTAAAAAGCTTATGCAAAAAATTTTAGATCAAGCTGAGTTTTTGGTAGAGAATATTAGGAAAACAAAAAAGCTCATATAGCAAATAAATAATAAAAAGGAAACAAAATAAATGTTTAAGAAAATGGTCGTTTGGCCCTAAGCACACAGGGCATCTTTCTGCGTTTGGCCGCCTGTCTTTCAAAAGATTCCAAAAGCCACCTCTCTCTCTCTCTCTCTAGACTTCTCGTTCTTTTTAGCTATAAATACCTAACCACCTCGTGTTTTCCGCTTGTCAAGCCCATAAGCCTAATCTGAGTCCTGACCATCGAACTCTCGTGTTTCCTCTTTGATCTTCTACTAACTCGGTAAGTTCTCTTCTCCGTCTCTTTTCTTACTTGATTTTTCTGTGTTAATTGTTTCATTTCCATAATTTATGTTTGATCTGTTGGGTATATGCAAGATCTCTTCTTTTTCATCTATTCTAAATTGGGTTGCTCTCAGTTTGTGATGATAATGATATTAAATAGTTTTGTTTGTTTATTTGATGTTTGAAAGCTAAGATTGTTTGTTTGTTGATATGGATTTGTAAATATGTTTATGTGATGTGCCCTTAACAAGTGGGGCTATCTTGTTTTGTTGGCAAGAAACAAATGGGTTGAAAGCGAAAATTTGGTTTTTATTTACTAAATCTTATTAAAGAAAACAAAAAGTGAAGGATTTCAAATTGTCATTTTTTGATTGAGATTATCATTTCATAATTACCATTAATGCTATACCTGTAGTTCAATTTTCATATTTTCCTTTATGTCAGAAAAAAGGACCATCTATCGTATATTGAAATGGGAAAATCTCCAATTCTATTTCAAATTCTTGAGCTAAGCTACGCAAATCTTGTAATTTCAGCAAGAATAATATAAAGATGCGGGGACAAAAGGGAAAGATGAGTAGACGATTAAATTTTACCGCATTAAGCTGTATTAACTTCAATTTAATGACGTTGCTCTTTATACGATCTTGGTTCTTCGAAAATGTAATCTAAGAGTAGTATTTGGCTATGTTGAATATATACGAGTCTTTGACAACAAAAATTCTCCTCACAATTTCCATTGACCGGATGCTCCTCCTGAATTTTCCTTCTCTTTATATCTTCCTTTCTTCAATTATATTTTTTTGGCTCGTTTTTTTTTTTGTTTTTGTAAAACACTTTCTCATTCTGGTAGCATCTCAAAGATGTTAAATTGAACAAGTTCTTTCAATTTTGTTTAGAAAAAGAATTTCCTTGCATCAACCTATTTCATACATTTCTATCTTACTATCAGTAAAGGGTGGTGCATTCTGCAAGATGACGCTGATCATTTATTTAGAGGAGAGTTACTCAAAAGGTTAATAGTTGACCATCTTGATGGAAATTCATATTGGTCCTAACATCTATGTCTCATGAAGTTTGTTTTGATTTTACACAATTTTTTTATATTTATATATTGACTAGTTAGGGTCCCCCCAAAGTTAGTTTCCAGGATGAAGACGTAATTGGTTGTATGATGTGATGGAGAACAGTACACAGCCAATGACTGTTATTTGCTTGTTTTGATCTCATGTGAAATTTGTGCCCTGAGAAATGATATGATGTGCCAAAATATAACTAGGAAATAAGCAATATAATCAATTAGAAATGTGGAGTGTCCTTTTAACATTTATTCTCTTAATTGCTAGATTTCTTAATTTGTTGTCTATGAGGGCAAAGACAGAAGCTTTTTGTTGAAGTATACCTCCTTAGGACATGAATATGTGATCTTATCAGAAGTACAAAACATGAATATCTGTCCCCAAAAACAGAGAGAGAATTGCAGTAAATGCTATGAGTTGAAAATGAGGTGCCAGTTTTGTTGTACCATTCAATAACTGGCATTTTGATTCATTCAAGTTTATGACCAGCATACTTCCTGCTTACCTATTTTCTTTGTGGGGACAATTTTGATCCCGTTTCTCTACTTTCTGATAGTTCGTACAGCAGTTCAATACTATAGACTAGAGAATGTTCAGCAATCAGGCTAGTGCATGCTATTAACTACCTTTTCATTTGTTTCTCATTCATCTAGGAATAATGAATTGCTTATGCCAAATCCTTTAGTATAGACTATCTGCAACCAGATATGAACGCCTGTTTGCTGCATTAAATAATTTAGGTGCATTTAATAGTTATATGAAGTGCGTTATGACACATTTTTTAATCTTTTCTTCTTTATTGATCTCGGTAGGGATAAGATATTGAAGAAGCCTTGCTTCCATACCATTATTGTTTTATAACATGGAGCCTTGAGTGAAGAGTAGAGAGCAGTTAGTTCTCTCTTCTCATAATGATCCAAACATGAATTGCATTACTATGATGATTCTATCATCATGTTGAGTCATTTATGATTATGAAACCTCACTACTATACAGTATTATTTTAACTTGAGAGTTTAACTGATTTTATGTATCGTTATATGTTTAAAGCTGGTATTTATAAAGTCATAAGCATTTGCATATTCTTGATGAGAGTGCTACTGGAAAAGAATTCTTATGGATGTATAATACAATTATGCTTCAATGAAAGCCAAACGCTGATCCCTTATTAACCTTCCACATAATAATTTTAAAAAAAACATGAAATTTTCCCTTATTGGGAGCAGCTATGGAGCTAGCTGACATTTGCTATTCTGGATTCAGGGGTAAAAATGGCAACTGTGACTGTTCCCTCTCAATGCATGGTCAAAACCACACCTAAAAGTCAGTTTGCCAGTGCCATTATCAAGCGTCCATCTTCTCTAGGATCAGTAAGGAGCATCTCAAAACGTTTTGGGTTGAAATGCTCCCAAAACTTCAAAGCATCAATGGCAGTGTACAAAATTAAGCTGATTGGACCAGATGGTGAAGAGAATGAGTTTGAAGCCTCTGATGATACATACATCCTAGATGCTGCTGAGGAAGCTGGAGTTGAGCTTCCCTATTCTTGCAGGGCTGGGGCTTGCTCTACTTGTGCTGGGAAGATGGTGTCAGGTTCGGTAGATCAGTCTGATGGTTCGTTCCTGGATGAGAATCAAATGAAAGACGGTTATTTGCTGACTTGTGTTTCATACCCAACTTCAGATTGTGTGATTCACACCCACAGGGAAGCTGAACTGTGCTGAGCAATATTGCATTCAGATTCAGTAGTTCATGAAATTTCTCTGTAAGCCTATTAGGGATTCCTCATTGTGGTGAAGGTTCTTTTGGAGATTTTGTTCTTTTTAGTTTATCTTATAACCACAACGTCGGTGAATTTATCCATCCAGTTTTTGTTGGTAATAACTGTTGCCCAAATTTATGCAATGTGACAATTTTATATATAAATATTGTTCTTACCTATATCTTTTTAGCCTTAAAGTGAAGCTCTTTTCAATCATGCCGTCAAACTTGAAGGTTTGACATATGCTGTTTGTTTATAAAAATAAGAAAAACTATAAGATGGATTATGTGCATAAAATTGCATCAGCTTTAGATTCATTTAAAATTTTTGTATTAATATAGTCTTAAATCTATTAATAACTTTTGAAAATATACGAAGTCAATTTAATACTCCCTCTTTGCATATGTCGAGGTCTAATTTCTTTTCAGTTTGTCCCAAAATGTAATTTTATTTTCTTTTTTTTAAAAAGATAAATTTCTTAAAATACCTTTATTTAATGTAAGTTTTAAAGAGATATTTTGGGGAAAACTAAATAAAAGATGTAATTCAATTATATTAATTAATTTTTCTTAATATATGGGAAAGTCAAACTAGGCCTATATATATATATATATATATGGGACAAAGGGAGTAATAATTTCAACATCCGTGATGTTTCAAACTCATTTAACTAATACCCCTTCCGTCCCATTTTGTTTCTTATTATTCATCTTTTGGATGTTTCAAAATGTTTGTAAGGTTTTTAAATTTATATATCTAAACAATTACTTTTCTTATAATAATCTTTATAATTGTTTGTTAAATGAAAGACTTTTATTAATATCTTAATGAGTTAGGTGTGAAAAAGGCAAAATAATTTTTATTAACTAAATTCTTAATACGTGTAGTTTGTCAAATCACAAATAAAATGAGAAGAAGTGAATATTTAAATTTACTTGATTTTAAAAGAAAAAAATAATTTGAACTTGATTTAAACAAAAAAAAAGAAGGAAAAACTCACTTTAACTAATATTTAAACTCATTTAACTCGCTCTTAACTATATTCAAACTCACTTAACTGCTTTAAATGGATTACGGTGAATCAAATAATTGATACGGGTCGGGTTAGATTGTGGTTGTCGATTTACAGTATTCAACCTGTATATGCGTTTTTTTGACCCAATTCAACCCATTAAACACATGAAACTGAAAATTATGAATAACTTGGGTTGTGTATACATTCAATGTAAAGCCAAATAAATGATAAACAATAAAAATAATTTTAAATAAAATACAACTATTTAAAAGAAATAACAAATTGATATATTTAAAAATATAGTTATACAATAATTTTTACGAACTGCAAGATACTCCCATAACAACATTTTAAAATAAGTTTCTTAATAATAATAACAAGCAATAACAATGGAAAACTAATAAGAAATATAACCAATAAAATAAAAAAAATTAGTAACAATAACTATACAAGAAATTTTAAACTACAATATGTTCCATTTGCAACATTTCAAAATAATTTTATATATAAAAAAACAAATTTAAAGGCAAGACATATTAGATATTTAAATAATTTAGTAGTTATATTAGAGTTATATACTAAATTAAATTAATTTAAATAATTCATACGTAAACACATACACAAATATATGATATTATTTCACGGGTTGGATCGAGAGTGGATTTACCTAGTGAATGTGTGATCCAACCCAATCTATGAATTACAAAAATGAACTGCCCAATCCAATTCATAATATATTTAAACCCATTGAATTGGACCGGTTGTGTCGGATTGGATCGGGTCAGAATGGTCATGTGCTACCCTATTTGGTAGTAATTTCAATCAACAATCAATCTATCTATCTATTGTCCATACTATATATAAATGTGGAAATATGAGGAGATAATGAGATTTCTGATTGCTTTTTTAATGAAATTTGGAATATCTAAATTAACTTTAATTATAGGCAATTAGAAAATTACATTTTATTAGTTGACTAGATATATTTATAAAAATTATTTTTTTAAATAAATACATATAGATAATTAAGCATTTCAAAATTTTAAGTTTTATCTTTTCTAAATTTATTTTTAAATTATTTTTAAATAAATACATAATAGATAATTAAGCGATTTCAAAATTTTAAGTTTTATCTTTTCAAAATTTATTTTTTAAATAAATATGATAATGAGAAAATTTGAACAATTTTTATATTTTATTTATTAAAATTTGATTCTATTTTGATTATAAGTAAAATTTTATTTTAGAGAAGATAAAATATATATTATTTTTATTAATATTTTTTTCTTATATTATTGATTTGGTTAGTATATTTTTCCAAAAATAAATTTTTAATATAATTAAATGTGGAATGCCAAATGGTTTTGAAATTATTAATTTAAATTATAATAAATATTTTATTGATATATTTATATATCTATATTATTGAAAATGTTTTTTGGTAGTGAGATTTGAAAAGAGTTTTTATTTTAATAATAATTTTTTATTTTTAATAATAATTTTTTATTTTCTTTTTCATTACTGAATAATTTGTAACTACTATCATTTTAATTTAGTAAGAGATTTATATTTCTCTTATAATAAATAGATGGTCTCTTGATGCTTAAGTATTTTTAATTTACTTGATATTTTTTCTTTTATATACTAAATCTGTTTGACTTGAAAGAAAGTAGTGTTTAGCAAACTAAAAAAAAAAAAAAAATTAGAATTATATATTTCTGTTTTGGGTCACTTTTTGGGTTCAAGAATTTGTGTGTATTCTTCTAAAGAAGAAGAATTTATGTGCATGTGCACATATTCTTTTCTGTAATGCACTGGGTAAGTAATACTGTCACTGTAGCCAAAGTAATTACCATTATCGATTCAGATCATCTTTTTATTTTTTTTTATTTTACCTAGCAATAAAAAATAACTTATTATTATTTTTCATTATAGTTATATATAGATATTGATTTGGAATTGATGGTTAAGGGATTGAAGATTGAGAGGTGGCTTGATTTTCTTTTTGGGCATCTATTAGAATTTTAAGAATCTGTATTTATAAATTAGGGACTAAAAAGTTAAATCTAGAAATTGGATTGAACTTTATTTTGAGACTACTTCATTATATAAAAATAGAATTAAATACATGTGAAGTAGTGATAGAAGTAAAAAATGAATGCTCAAGAACAGTTATGAGATGTAATGTGTCCTCTAATGAGATGTGATATAAATATTTATAGTGTTCTTCCTATTGTAACTGAAGTTGTAAATGTCTAGCAAGAATTCTGGTAATAAATATTAAGCGAGAATCTTGGGCATTAATTACGTGATTAAGTGAATCTTAATAACTCTTTGATCGAGCGTTACCTCTATTTAAACTAGTTTGAGTAACGCTCGATCCATTCTAACAATTGCTCAGCACATTCTATTGACTGCTTGGCCCATTCTATTGTTCGGCACATTTTGCTTGGACTATTCTATTGCTCGGCACATTTTGCTCGGACTATTCTGTTGCTCATCCCATTCTGTTGATTACCCATACCAATCTGTTACTCATCCCATTTTGTTGATTGTTCAGCCCATTTTATCAATTGCACCTAACAAAAGTCCTCCCAAAATATACCGAATCATTTTTGTTCGTTACTATGGTGTCTAGTGTATGGTGGACCATTAGTTTTGTTTTTGCGAGTCCCCAGGTTTCTCTACGTCGCTTCCTTTGGGATGATTTAAAATTTTTGATGGCTGACCTAGAGATTAGGAGTCCTATGATTAGTGATTTTAATTTTATTCTTTGTTCGGAGGAACAAGTTGGCTATGCTAAGCTCAATAGCGCTGGTTCGAGGGATTTTAAAGATTTGATTTTCTCTTCCTCATTGATTGATTTTGGATTCCCGAGGAATCCGTTCACATAGACCCGTGGTATTCATGCAAATGGTATTAAAATGGCTTAGTTGGATCGTGGTTTCTGCTCGCCTAACTGGAGGATGTTGTATCCTAATGCGACAGTCCTTCATCCCCCCTCCCCCAGATTCATTTGGATCACACTCCTTTGGTTGCTAACCTCAATGAGGTGGCTCGACCCTCTACGAAGTTGAATGCAGATGGCTTGGTTTGCACATTGTTAGTTTTTTGCCATTGTTCAACAGCATTGGCATGGTCAAAATCTTATGAAGGCTTTGGGTTCGGTTAAGTCAAGGCTGTTTGAAGGGAGTGTTAAAGGTTTTGGGAATATTTTTGCTAATAAAAGACATCTAATCTGGAGGCTTGATGGTGTCCAGAAGATCTTAAGTCGCAGCATGGCCTCGAATTTAGTCATATCAGAGAGGAAGTTGAGATTGCAGCTTGATGAAGTCCTTCGACAATAAGAGTTTTTTTGGTTTCAAAGGTCTTGGGAGGACTGTATTGTCTTGGGTGAGTGCAACATAAAATTTTATCATCTTGCTGCCACAGTTCGCAAGAATTGGTGTAGTATCACTCGGCTAAAGGACGGGCATGGGCAATGGGTTGACAGTGAGGATACCCTAAAAGTGAGATGACGCGTGACTTTTATCAAAGGTTGTATTGGGTTGAATCCTCGTTTAACCTTGAACTTAGGGGTGGTAGGCCGCTGATTCCAGCTCACATGCATTTGGGGTTGAATAAATTATTTTCTAAAGAGGAAGTGCATAAGGCTTTGATGGGTATGGGGCCTTCTAAGGCCACTGGAGGGGATGGGATCTAGGAAGCTTTCTTTCAACGTATGTCGAGGGTGGTTGGGAAGGATGTGTCTCAGTTTATTTTGGACATTTTACATGGCGGCTGTATCCCTTCTACCAATAACGAGACCTTGCTAGTTCTTATCCTAAAGCGGATAACCTAAAGTGCCTTTCGCAGTTCACGCCGATAAGCTTGTTTAATGTTTTATATAAACTGTTAACCAAGTCGTTGGTTAATAGGACGAAGGTGGTTTTGCCTTTTTTGATCGGTCCGGAGCAGTGTTGCTTTGTCCTAGGACATCAAATTATTGATAACATTGTCATTTATCAGGAGATGCTCCACACTATGCAAAGGATGAAAGGGGCAAAAGGGTACATGGCTGTCAAGATTGACCTTGAAAAGGCTTATGATCGACTAAATTGGGTTTTTATTGAATGGGTGTTGCGTGAAGCTGGTTTCTTAGACGAATAAATTTGGAATGTTATGAA